AAAAGTAAGGGACTAAATATAAAAAGAGAATACATTTTTAGTGAAAAATAGGAATTGAAGTTACATAGATATTATATAATGATATAGGTGCATGTGGTTCATATTTAAAAAAGAGACTTAAAATGAAGGATAAATTGAAAAGAATAAAGAAATCACGAAAAGTTGAGGGACTAAATTAAAAATATAAAACTTGTTATAAAAAAATAGGAATTGTAAGTACATCTATATTCTACTATGGTGTAGGAGCATCTGGTATAAATTTAATAAAAATAAACTTAAAATGAAGATGAAATTGAAGAAATAAAAAAATCAGGGACTAAATTGTACAATTATAAAAAATACTCAACCAAAATTTTCATTTTTGGAATGACTCGAATTTTTCAAACTTTAACTCAACTCTAACTCACTTCAGTAACTGAAATTTTGAATTTTGAAAATTACAATTGAAATTAATAAAATTAGAGTATTTGGACTAAATCTACCATCTGCATATAATATAGGGAACAGACATACAAAGATAAATATTATATATTTAATATTTCCTTTTTCTTATAATCGGTCTTAAATATATCGAAATTAAAACTTTATTGATTCGATTAGAAAAATATTTTAACCGCCACCCAAACTCACATAGTCAATGAGCTGTTAACATCTCGCATTGTAAATTCAGTCTGGATATAAAATTTTATGTTATGAGTATAAATTTAAAAAATTATATTAAAAATTATAAAGATATAAAATTAAATAATCAATAAAAAAACACAAAGAAAAAATCTAAAATATAAGTTGATTTAAAATTTTCAGGGCATCCCAACACTCTCTCAATTTTAGGGATAGTCAAAATATCCGAACTAGACGGATTCTGATCTTATAAGAGTGGTTTTTTTTAATTTTGAGGCTTGAGACGGGGCGGGATGGGTTATACGGTATAAAATTTTGAGGCAGGTTAGGGTCGAGTTTAAGGTGAAAAGTCACCGACCCGACCCGATTTTTTTTTTTGTATATATATATATATTATATTTGATATTTTAATAATTTTTTTATATTGCTAAAATATATGAATTTAATTGTTTAAAATATGATAAATACTTATAAATATATTATTACAAATTATATTATTTTAATTATTTGAAAATATTAATATATTTAGTTCAAATCCGATAGGAATTTTAATCTAAAAATTGAAACGGATCTGAGACGGAAAAATTTTAAAATTCATTAGAGCATGACGTACGTAATTTTAAATATATATTTTTAGGTCGGGTCGGACAGCTGAAAACCCACCCGCCTCGCCCGTGGCCATCCCTGATTGTCATTATATATCTAAAATAATCCAAGCAGCATGAAACCCTGGACTTCCACATGAATTATCATTTTAGTTTGTTTTCATGCTGTCAAGAGAGAACTTATAATATATATATATATATATAATATAGTTTACTTACTTTATCATAAAAATTGATATTTGTGTCATTTAATGGCTTTATTATACTAATAAATTATTGTTTTCTTTGAATCAATTCCTCAAATCATGATGTCCAACCTATAAATAGGGATTCATGGTATGTATTTGCATGAAATTCGATATATATATTCGTATAATCATTTATATTTAATTTATTCAACGATTCATTTAAATAAAATATTATAAAACTTTATAAATAAAATATATTTTTTAATTCAATTCACTTAATTCATAACACAACATTTAGATGAATAACATGGGACACATTTTATTTCACGAAAATCAACTGATAATCGACGTATGAAAATCAATGTTAATATTGAAATCAACATCCCATCTTTAATTATTTCTATAATAATAATAATAAGGGTAAAGTACAAAAACGGTCCTTTGACCATAGGATGTTATTTTTTGAGTCATTTGACTATTAAAAGTTACAAAATGACCCCTCGACTATAAGGAGCTGCTTTGTTGAGTCCCTCAACTATTAAAAGCTACAAAAAAATGACTTAGAAAATTAACATGTTGGACATTAACACAACTTATACAGTTATTAAAATTTACAGTCATTTAAGTACTTTAACATGTTGACTTAAATTTGATTGTCATTTGAGATTATGATATCACATTTTTATCATTTCTCATTCAGCAGGTTAACATACAATTATATTGTTATTAAAATTTTAATAAAAAATGATTAGTTTGGATTATAATGAATAATTGGATGACCATTTTGTAACTTTAAATAATCTAGAGACTCAACAAAGTAATTTCTCATAGTAAGATGACTTAATAAAACAATATCCTATAATCGAATGACTATTTATGTACTTTACCCTAATAATAATAAGATAATGGTAGTTCAAGTGGTGGTTGAGTGAGGTGTGTCTCTCGGATGATGTTAACATCTTTCCTTACCATTCATTCATTAATATAAAACCTTTAATCCAATCATCCAAGTCCTTCACATATTTATTCTTATTATTCCCCACCTAAAATGTTAACCGATCACCAACATTAATTTATTAAACTAAGTCATATTCTTTATTTAGGGAGGTTTACAATCTACCTACACACATATAAAGGCAAATGTTATTATTTTGGGTAAAGTACATAGATGGTCCCTCAACTATAGGATATCACTTTATTGAGTTCTCCGACTATTAATAGTTAGAAAATGATCCCCCGACTATAAAACGTTACTTTTTTAAGTCCCCTTACTATTAAAAGTTACAAAATGGTCACTCGATTATTCACTGTGTTCCAAACTCGTCATTGTTTTGTTAAAAATTTATTGTAGTTTGAGCTAGACGTTAACCTGCTAACTGAGATATGATAGTCGCTTGAGATTCTGAGTTTATATTATATCATATCTCAGTTAGTAGGTTAATGAACAACTCAAAATTGTATCAATTTTTTAACGAAAAATGAAGAGTTTGAGACACAATGAATAGTTAGATGACAATTTTTGTAACTTTTAATAGTCAGGGGACTTAAAAAAGCAATGTCTTATAGTCGGGAGATCATTTTGTAACTTTTAAAAGTCGGAGAACTCAATGAAACAACATCCTATAGTTAAGGGACTATTTATGTACTTTACCCTATTATTTTTAGTAGTAAGATTTTATGTTCGGATATAATTTTTTTAAAAGAAAGTATATTAACATTTTAGAGATATAAATTTAGATAAACAATATAAAATATAAAAAAAACATATTTTATATGAAAATTTAAAATTTTATAAAAATATAAATACTCAAAGAATCCTCTTGATCTATCCCTCATTATCTTACAAATGAAAAGTGACAAATGATCATGTTTAATATAACATGAGTCTATTTTAAACAATTTTTTTAATAAAACTTACATTAAATTAGGATCTAAATCATATTAAATTTTTGTTAATGTACCAATTTGTATTTATTTGATCACATTATATGCCTAAATTAATATTTTATCATTTGATCAAATGAATAAGTGAAGGGAATAAAGAGACTACCCACTTATATGAATGTCACTTTTATTTTCACTTAAGTATGTTTCGAGATCGAGTCATTGTGAATGTAAAAAATTCTCGTTGAGAGATTCACCCATCAAAATCAGGTGTGCGACCCGAGTCGATCTGAATTAGTCAAGATGAAACCTTGGGACCGGAAGGGGAAAAATGCCACTTTCATCTTTGTATTAACAATTTATTATGTTATTAAGATATTACATAATAATAATAAGATGTAATTATTAAATAATTATCATATTATTTTATAAATATAAAAATACTAACTATTTAAACGTGTTTGAGTACTATTATATAATTATATTTCATGAGGTATATTAATTAAAAAATAAATGAAATTTGTAAAGTTATTATGATTAATTATTTATATAATTCTTTTAATTTTATGTTTTATTTAGGTCGTATTTGAACACCGTATTGTAATTGCATGAAAATACAACTATCATCCTATATGTAATTATGAAGAACTCTAATCTCATAGATATATTTTACATGATAAATTATAATATATTTTTTTGAACGGAAATATAATATATTTTTTATCATGTTCGATAATGCGAATTATAATTACATTGTTTTATATGTTTAAATTTGATATAAATTTTTAAATCAAAAAGTACAATTACATCTACGTCTAGGGATGACAATTTCACCCGCATCCGAAAGGTTCTGATCTGATCCGACCCGATCCGATCCGATCGGATTAGATTTTTTTTTTAAATTAGGTTATTGTCGAATTTTTTAAGGAATGAAGTCGGGTTCGGGTGGAGGGTGATAAAACTCTGACCCGAGGATAATAATATAATTTCCTTAAAATAATTAGCTGACCATATTCTCATATGTAATGGGGTAAGTGGGAGGTAGGGTAGTAGTAGGCTGCCCCCAACGCCAGGTTAAGAGCAGTTTCCGTGGAAGACATCCGTTATGAATTGCCCTTAGTAGGACTCGATCCCATGACCACAAGGTTAAGAACCTTGTGCTCTACCAACTGAGCTAGACGGGCAAGACTAATATAATTTCCTTAAAAAATGTTATTATATTTTAATTAAATCTTTAATTTATATCGGGTCGGGTTAGATCGAATTTTTACTCTAAAAATTGGGTAATGTCGGAGTTGGGTGGAGAATATATATTTTTTGAGCCTGGTCGGGTCGAATACATGATATAAAATTTTTGATTCATTCAAGCTCGGGTGGAGGATGCATATTTTCGGGTCGGTTTGATCAAATACCCGACCCGTTGCCATTGCCTATAATTACATAATAAAAGTTTTCAATAGAAGACTTAACTAGCGAAAGACATAAAGTATAGGGGCCTGTTTTATATTTGGACCTAGTTGTTTTATAAAATGTTCACATGAATAAAACTGGGGAATAACCGGAGGAAAAGAAAGAGGAAGGGAAAGGGTGGTTGAATAAGAGAAATACTTTTGTACGTCTCATCGTCTTTCTTCCTTTTCTCTTATTTGGCTCAACCATGTGTTTGCTTTCACCATCTTCTCCTTAGCAAAGAAGAGAAAGGGAAGACATCAAAGAAGAATAAACGAAAAACCCACACTTTTTTTTTTTTTTTGCAAATCTCTTGATGCATTTTTTTTTATAATTTTATTCTGGGTTGTAAGCTGTTGAAACAGTGAAGAAGAAGAAGAAGAAGAAGATGGTTGCAAACAGTTTTTATTTGTGGCAAAAAGATGCCTTCTTTTCTGCAGCAGAAGAGGTTCAAGAATCAGCTGATATGTATGTTTTTTTTCCCCTTTTAAAATTCAACTACCATGCCAATTTTCTGCTTGGGTTTTTGTTTTTGTTTTTGAATGTTTGGTTTAGTTTCGAATGATTGACTGTTAATTTCATATATATTTGATTAAAGGTCCCATCTTTTCGAGGAAGATTATATGCTTGATATCTGAAAACTTTATTGGAGATTTTGTAATGCTTAATGTCATTAATCAACTACATAAACTAGGGTCTTGCATATATAACAAGCTCAAGCTTGAAGCATTTTTGAAAACAAGTGCTTGAATTATTTTCATGGCTTCTGTTGTTTTCCAGAATGGAATCAGCATATAGGTTTTGGATCAAACAGAGGAGAGAAGGGCTAAAAACTGAAGATTCTGCTGAACTTTGTGGAGAACTGCAAACTGCTTTAGGTACTGCTAAATGGCAGGTATGTCTTCGCTACTTAAACTAATCGCATTTTAAGACATCTGTCATTCGGATTTCCGTCTTTGTTGGATGTGTGCTTTCGTGTGTGTCTGAGACGTATACACTTGATTTTAGGAGAATCATGTTTCCTTGTCCATGTGCTGATATATATTGGACATGGATACTTTTAGCATGAATGAAGAATTGTCGCATTTGCTAGATATCATTGCCTTTTACTCATTTATAGGAAGCTTACTCGTTTCGATATCTGCTCTATGTATTATGGATGTAAATTCAGTTAGAAGAGTTTGAGAGAGCAATACAGTTGAGCCATGGACATCGTAGCGATGATATTACAGCAACTAGGCACAAACAATTTATTACTGCTATCGAGAGTCAGGTTTCCCGTGTAGAAGCAGCTTTAAAAGAAGCATTTTCCGAGGAGGGGAAGCAACCCCTTCAGTGGGTTAATTTAGATGAAGAAGAATGTGATGATCTGGCAATCTTCCTTTCCAGAACTTCTCAGATATTGCAAGCATCTGCGAAGAACACTTATTTGGAGAATTGCCATAAGAGAAAGGACACAGATTCTAATTTCAATGCTACTTGTAATGGAGATACTTCTGAGGTGAAAACTTCCAAAGATTATAGTAAAGATGCTGAGTGTGTCATCGATGTAGAAGACGGTGAAACTTCTGGAAGGGCTGCTGACGTAAGTTGTGGACAAGAGAGAACAACTGGTGCAAGGAAAACATGGAGTTCACCAAATTTTGGTGCACTGAGAATTGTAATTGCTGATGAATATGATAATAGAAGCGAAATCAGGTCAGGCAATCAGTCCACACCTAAAGATAAAGATTCAAAGCTTTTCTTCAATAAGCAAAGGTGTGGAGATCTTCCTCGGGCCAAGGGTGCTTTTAATTTATTCTATCAGGTAAGAACCCGGGGGGGTTCATTTCCTTTATTTCTTTCTTATACCGTTTTTGTGCAATACTATATTTGTTGTATAAACAATACTCAGGGAACCTAATAAACGCAATATTGCAGTGCTCTGGCTGGGTTGGTGGGTTATCACGACATCTGCAAAGTCCAGTACACTTGCAGTTTAGTTACTCACTGCAACTTACACTTGCTTTATTGATAGCTATTTTTCTTATCGGTGAGTCATTTCTCCATTTCAATTCGAGGGTTTTGATAACGAAGTAGTCAAGGATTTTGTATGTTTTTGCAGAAAAAAATAGTATCGTTTGCAGAAAAATTTGCAGTTTAAACGATGACCAACTTAGTGTTCTTTATGTACATGTTTCTGCTTAAAGCCAATGTGAATTTTTAATGTAGTTTTGATACATGATAGTGTCAGTATGATCAAGCTGCAAGAACCAGGAATTCCGTGACACGATTATTGTTTATATCTCATTTTTTTTTGTTTTAGTTTAAATTATTGTTTATACCCTTTTGGATCATGTTTAGGATTTTGAATCGTTGATACGCCTTTTAACGGGACGGTAAGTTTGTAAATAATTCGAACGAGATAACATTTATTCATGATTTTGAACCACTGAAGGAATCTTTCTTATGCCCTTTTAACAATGTACTGCAGTGCCTTTTGTGCTTTATTCAAGTTGAGAGCTAGTGGTTGCTATGTGTTGTCAATCAAGACACAGAGGTAAATCTATCTCCTCTGAGTACAGTTAACTTTTTTTCTTCCTATTATACTCGGTGTAGCAACTGTATTTCATATTTGCAGTCTAGTCGAAATGCATCAAACACAAAAATAAATTAGAACAGCTTTGATCTTTTAATATCACTTGAGTGCACAATACCATCTTGTTGCTGGAAGAAATGCATCGTATCCACCACCAGGATAAATGCAACAGGACTGCAACATAAATCCTTGCTTTTAGGCATTCTACATAGGTTGGGGGTATCTTTTTGTATGACGGGACAGGGTTGAAATGGGGATCGGTGACACTTCGGAGTGGTATGCATTCTTGTTTCATATGACATGTCCCAAAAGGTTAAAGCCCGAGCTAGTTCTTAATTGTTTTTTCCTTTCAGGTGTTGATCGGTGACTTCGGGGTTGAAGATTGTGAGCTTGAATCTCTTGACCGGTTGTTTTCAAGATCTGGGTGAAACTCTGCTCTTGAGCTTTGCTCAGACAAAAAGGTTTTTGCTATTTCATTGATACACTGTAAATGCATTGGTCTTGCATGCATATAATATATTTGAAGGATCATTTGGTATCATAGGCAGCAGTCTCATAGTCATTGCCAATTGCCATGTGAGCTAAATCTCCACATGCTTAAATAAACATTACAATAAGAAGGATTGTCAACGGTGTAGCATTATCAACTTGACCCTACCCCCTACGTAAAGGATGCTTTCCCCTGCATTCACTACAAATTAATGCTTGAAAGGCTTGCTTCCGTCGTCATCATTCATCAATTCACCTTTTGATTTTTGTTCCATTTGAAATGTTTTTTCTCTTCAATGTCTATTGGTTTGGTGCTTTTTTTCCTTTGCTTTGAAGCTTGAACTTCCTTTGCTTTACGAAGGCGTTTATCCATTTCTTGGCACGATGTTCTATCACGGTCTTATCTAAGCTTGCATTGAATTTTGGGTTTTACTGTCGGCTCTTGATATCTTTAAGCTCCATCGCCCGTGGAAAACTTAATCGATCCGACCATGAAAATATACCACATTGGCTTAACCACCTTCTTAGGCGAAACCTCGGGTTGGTCGAAGCTCTTCGTCGACGTAACCCTCCTTCATGTTGAGACGGTTGAAGCTTATACTTCTGAGAACTCAAACAGCGGTTGATTCTAAGAGCTTTGTTGTTTCCGGTGGAGCTGATGGCATGTAACTCGGAGAACGACCGGAATCATTTTGCATGATGATTGTTTGTGTAAGGCATGGTTTTTTTTTACGCTTTCATTCTTCGAAAGGAAAACAAGTTTTCCATCGGAGATTATGTCGTTGGCTGGGCACATGTCGGAGCTGTTGTCATCGTCGTGAAAAGAATTCAAAGACAACTTCGGGAGATAATTTTCGAACAATATATATTTTTGTTATCAAGGGTAAGCAATTTATTTGAGGCAAAGGGATAAGCGAAGTCTTTGAAAAAAGTAATGTGACTCATTATTTTTTGTATTTTTTTTAAAATAATGTTATTCGTATTTTTTTTCTTAACGCGATCTTTCAACTTAAAAGAGAGTCTAATGTAGTCATTTGACCAATATTTTTTGCATTGACCAATATTTGTATAAATCATTCGTCATTAGTATGCTTTAAGTCGACAATTAGTTTCTGCAAAATTCATCTCCATGATTCTTTTTTTTTTCTCCTTCAACAATTGCTCATGCAATTGGAAATTGATTATTTCTGTCTCTAGCAATAGTCGCAAGCAGTATTACATTCGTAATAGATTGGAGAAAGCATCCATGTCAGTAGGAATTAACTAAGTCGTTAGTCAATGGTGGAAAATGTTAGTCAAAGAGTTATATTGGGTTCTTTTCTTGAGTTGAAATGTCACATTAAGAGAAAAAATAATACGAATGCCACATTAATTATTTTAAAGTACAGGGGCTTCATTTACCATTTTGTCATTATTTAATTATAAGCATGAACTAAACGAACTCATTGGTAAATAAATTGTTGTTATTCCTTGAAGTCTCAGGTTTAAACATCATGAATGTCAAATGTATGAGCATTCAATGTCAAATGGTTAAGAGTTATCTTTAGATAGATACTACCTTGTGGAATAGTATGAAATTTTAAAGGGTAAATTATATATTTAGTACCTAAACTATCAGTTTTGATATGTTTTAGTACCTCAATTTTTTTAAAATCATACTTAATATTTAGTTTTTATTTCTTTTTTAGTGTCGGCTATTAAGGGAAGTAGAGGGAGCGATTGAAATTCCTACTTTTTATAATCTTATTTTTTGCCTTTATAATTGAAGGACCTAATTTTTTATCTCACTTTTTCCATTTATGATTGAGACCTCTAATTTTTTCATTCCTACCTACTTTTTACATTTATAATTGAGGTTCCTAAATTTTTTAATTTCACTTTATAGCTTTATGATTGAGCCCTTATTTTTTTAAATCTCATTTTTACCTTTATAATTGATGTTCCTAATTTTTCCAATCTCACTTTCTAGCTTTGTAATTAAAACCTCTAATTTTTTTAGTATTGGGATAAATAATTAGCATGTAAAATAGAGGGTACATGGGCAATTTCAGCCCAATATTGTAGGTGGGCTAATCATTACCAATCCATTATGGTTGAGACGGATCTGTTCATTTTAGTACTCGACGTTTAAAATTTAGCACGTTTAATAAATAAATTATCAATTTTGGTCCATTTTAGTACCTAATTTTCAACTTTTTTTCAAAACTTAACTTTGAATTTTGAACATGGGTGCTAAAAGGAAACACGACTAGTTTTTAGGTATGATTTTGAAAATTTTGAAAGTTTAGGTATTAAAACTGAACTAAATTAATAGTCTGGGTACTAAATTCGTAATTTATCCAATTTTAAAATTTAATTTATATAATTTGTAAAAAAATAGTATAAAATTAATAGGATTAGTAACATCAAAACCTCAGCAAAATCTAGTGGACGAGCCGGGGTGCTTATTGGGCATGGCTAGAAATCATGTGGGCTCTGCCCGCGCAGGATCGAATCCTGCCTTCTACGTTTTCTTTCCCATTTTTGCGGCCTTCGTGTGGTGAATGCATGCAACTTTCTTCTTTTTGTTGCCTTCATATATTCGTTGTCAATTTCCAGAACAAGAGAAAATAATGCCAATATTCTAAACTATGAACTACTAATAATTAAGAAGGATTCATATTTCTTCTTTTTGTTCACTAAATAACTAACAGTTGATTAGCAACCGATCAAAAATTCTGCAATACTCGGCTTTAGGGATAGATCGAGTGAGTCTCCTGAAATTTTAAAATTATTATATACTTTAGATTTTTTTATGTATTTTCTATTTAAAATTTATTTTCGTCCTCCTGAAATTTTATAAGTTTAAGTTCGTCTCCCTAGAATTTCAAAAGTTCAAGTTCGCTCCCTGAACATAAAATCATGCATTCATCCATACTCTCGGCTTCTGCTACTACCACGATATTTTTGGAAAAAAACCACATCAAATTATTTGATTATATAAATGAATCAAAAAGTGTTAAAATTACCATCATATCCCTTAAAGAATTTAAATTCCCGCAATATTAAATAATTTTTTTCCTGATTATTTAGTTTTGTATCCTTAAAGTTATGATTATACGTTGCATAAATTTTAATATAGTTTTTATGTTCGTCTCTCTTAGTACAAAATTATGCATCTATTCCTCCAAAAAAAAACTAACTTCAAAATTAAAATTATATATTTCGAAAAATAAATAAATTAGAAACGACCGAATCAAATAAAATTTGACCAAATTGGCCAAAAACACATAGAACGCAACCTTATATACAATATGACAATGTGTTATAAGGGTAAAAAAAACTTTTAATCTCTAAAACTTTTTTATCCACAATAACCCCTAAATTTATTAGTGGATCGGTGAGTTTGAAATAATATTAAAAAAAGTATAAACTACATATATTTTATTTAAATTTAATGGTAACTATGAAATTTATAAATTATTAACAATAAAGCTATATTGTAATACTTTATTATTTTTAAACAATGAAAATATGACCGAACTTTAGAATTATTTTAAAATTAAATTCTAACCCGACCTATGGAACACATCTAGTGTTTGAGAAATGAAACTTCGATTTAGTGAAAATATTGAACTCAGAGTTCTGATATCTAATGTGAAGCACTCGAGGATCTATGTTGAAATCTGGGTGGGTACTTCCACATCCTGACATTCAATTTTTTTTCATGTTAATTGTTAATTTTATTAAAGATATTCACCTCAAAATTTAATTTTTTATGCTAATTATTAATTTTATTAAAGGTATTCATCCTAAAATTTATTTGTGTCCATTTCAGAATTCGAATTTCTTTATATTAATTGTTTATTTTACTAAAGGTGCCTACACTGAAATTTTATTTGTATCTGCCCATACGTAATTTTTTTTGTTATTAATACATATGTGCTCATACCCACTCTGAAAAATATTTCTGGATCCATCAATTAGAGGTGAGCGAATTCTTTTCTTTCAGACCTCATCGCCTTTGATTTGATGCGAACAATCCGGCTTTTCCCGTATTTTTCGCCCGAACAATCCGGCCTTGGCTTGTGTATATATATAATTTATACGTATATAGATAGAGAGAGCGAATTCTTTTCTTTCAGTATTTTCATGGTGTAAACATTCACCATACATCACGTAGATACCTGCCAGTAGTTTGCAGGTTTTTCACCATGCTCTCAGCCTTTGAGCTGTCTATACCTCCCTGAAATCAACAAAGTTTGGTGCATGAGATTACCGAAACAGGAAAAATTCCGGAAATCGTCCTCTTCCGGACCTTCCGGTATCGGAGTGGAAAGTGGTAAAGGTTGCAGTAACTTATTTTTAATCAAATTGCCTTGTAACATGGCAGCTGGTAATGTTGTTGATATCGGCAATCATAGTCCCGGGTTTATGTGTAATAAACATACCTGTTCTTGCAAAATAGTGTGTAGAGTACGATGCACATCTCTAGCCATGCCCTTGGCATCACCGCATACATATAGGTAACCTCCCTGAGAAATCATGTTCCAGATGTCCACGGCCTGGAAACGAGGCGGAAATATGCTTAGGGCTAGAAATTAAGGAACTGAAATGCCGGATTTGTAAAATAGAAAGAAAAACAAAAGTTCTATTCTGCAATTCATGACGGTAGGTGAAACATGTCCAGTACCTTCTCCATCATCTTGTGTTGCACATATTCCTTGGTAGGTCCCTCGCGTGAAAAGGCGACCACGAGCTCAGAAAGTGCACCACTGTCGACGAAGTTGTTGAGCTCGTCTTCATAAATGTAATCCTAGACAAAAGAAAACATGTACTGAATTAAAATTTGTAGTTTAATAACAAATGTATCCTCAAACCAATGGCGCCGGATATGCAAAACTTACCATTTTCCGATTCCTGCAGCCAAAGAACAATACAGATGGACCTAGATCAGCTCCAGCTTCTTTCAGGGCAAGTCTTTCCTGAAAAATAAAATATTAATAATTAGTTTATAGTATTCACTCAACGTGACAGCACTGAAAAGGTGATGGAACTTACCTGAAGGAATCCCCTGAAAGGAGCCAAGCCAGTACCAGGGCCAATCATAATAATCGGCAGTTTAGTGTCGGAAGGAAGTTTGAAGTTCGATTGCCTGACAAAAATAGGAGCCCAGCTGCAGTCATGGCTTTTCTCCAATGGCATGGAATTCTGAAAAGAAGGGGGCAAATGGGGATAAAGATTATATTAATACTATTATTAATCGAAAAAACGTGTTAAATACAACAGGGACGACAAGCATCAAAGCATGGCAACCAGGAATTAGATATCATTTATCTTATAAAAAATGTCATCCGAGTTTCCATCGACTTCAAAGGCTGCCTTCTCCCGACTATGTAGAAGAGAAAAAGGAAACATGGGGTACCTTCATCCAAGTCGAACAAACACCTTTGTGAATTCGACCTGTAGGTGTCTTCTCGTGAACCAATGCACAAGTTACATGAATTCTAGATGGTGCCATCCTGTAAAACATAATTATAGATGGTAAATATATCCACGTACATTTAAAAATATTATAGCTAGAACAAAAACATTAAATTGAAGATGGTGGAGTGTTCTTAAATGATATATCCATAATGCTACTGACTGAATCATCTATTACACATTTTCCCACCTTACTATTTAGAAGGAAAAGCTACTGGACAAATAGAAAGAAGAAAATAAAAGAGAATTACCTTGGTGAGGATGAGATGGAATAGTATCTAGGCTGCAACCGTGGGGCAACAGATGCAAAAAAGACGCCAAGTGGTGGCTTGGCTGAAGGAAATTCAGACATGACCTCAAGGAGGCTTCTCTGACTTGCAACCATCCATTGCGCATATTCATCCTGTAAAAATATCAGAAGGTACATCAGCTTACAAAATAAGCCTCAAACAGGGAACCAAGCTATAATATAAATTGACTCCTCAAACCTTTCCAGCAGGCGATGCAAGGTGTCTTAATCGAACAGCTTCAGTTGGATCAGATGCATGAGCAGCCAAAACAAGTAAGGCAGACTGGAGGTTATATGCATAAAAGAATTAGCTTCTTTATTCAAAGAAAATACAAAAGAGTTTATGATATAATGAGAAAGAAAAAATAATCTAACCTTTTTTGGTGAGCTCAAAAGATCAGCATATCGTGCCAGTGCTGTCCTTAGAGTGCAAGGTGGGAAAGGAGGAGGCAAAGAACTTCCACCAAGTGGAGTACCATCCTCTTTATCAGTATGAACAGAGAAATAGGTATCCGGTGATATCCCCAACAATCTCAATGCTTCCTCTACAACTTCGTCTAGATTCTCACAGTAAACACCAACATGATCACCTGTTTCATATCTGAAAAGGAAGACAATAGTAAGTAGGCAAAGTTATCTATGATGTTAAAAAGAAAATTTGAAATTACCAGCATTTGGCATCTAGTTTTAAAATGAGGATAAGAGAGGAGCAGAGATGGTCATAATTGCAATAACAAGAAGTTACCCACACAGTTACCAAAATATTTAGGAAAACAACTTACATAAGTCCAGTGCCAGCAATATCAAACTCAAGATGGGTGCAAGAACGATCAGATGCAGGAGTATGAAGCTCCTTCCTCACAGCCACATTAGACCTTTAAGTTAGAAACAATTAAAGATGTTAGGTTTCATCAAAGAAAAAAAACTAACAAATTGCACCAGGATATCTGAAAAAACTATTCTTGCATACTTGCATGGATGTTGAGCATCATAAATAGTGTGTCCATTTGCAGTGCTCCAGTTTTTATCCTGAATAGGTGCCTTCGTACGATCATAAAATACAACACGGTATTCCAAAACAGCAGCAGTGTATGGAGTAGAAACAGTTGTTGCATCATCTTCATCACGCAAAAGCTGATCTAACTCTGGCCACACCGATTCACGCCTGGAAGAGCAAGATGGGTTCAATAAAGGGTGAAGGTTAAAGAAGGAAAAACTTTTCATTCAAACAGAGCGGAGGTTCTTAATACCATGCAGTAAAGTCATCTTCAATGCATTGGTCATCATCTCCAAGACCCACAGGAACTAGGCGCTTTGCTCCTGCAAATATAAAGGATAATGTTAACCCATAGGTTCCTAAGTAGTGATAATTTGATTACAATATATATGAACCAACTATGCAACAAACTTCTACTGGATGGACCTAGATTTTATCCATCTGTATATTTCTGTTTGAACATTTGAATACATGCCAAGACTCACTTTATCTCACTGAAATCAGAATTTTCAAGGATTGAAAACAAAAGAAGAATCCATCTATATAAGCATGGGGAAGATAAAAGAAAAAATAAGAGCATACCCTGCTCAGCAAGGATGTCATCAACCACCTTTGCAACCTTGTTAAAATGTTCATACTGTCTGTTACCAAGGCCAAAAACTCCGTACTTCATGTTTTGAAGCCATTCTCCCAACTCTTTCCCTAAATATCCAAACACATTCAATATTCCAATAATAGCTAACTGAAAAAATTCTAGAATTACCATAATTTCGCTAATGAAAATAATTCGTTATCATCGTTGACTAACTACAATTAACATTTACCTCAGTGAACCATTTATGGAACCTAGCAGCATTATCGGTCGGTTCACCATCTCCATATCTACAAGTTCACCAAATTAAGCGAATCAGCAAAACAAGTTCTCAAAATATATGCATATAATGTACACATAAACACAGCAATACATAATATAAAAGTATAGTCATTAAAAAGAAAATGATTCAAAATAACTCACGTGGCTAAGAAGAAAAACGCCAAACTCTCTTTCTTCATCTTCTCCTCGTATTCATCATCATTAGCCGCATAGTCATCCTGTTAGTGTTTATAGCACAGCAAACAAGGCTCAACAGTTAAAATCGTCAATTCGAGTTCAAAAACTTAAACAACAAAAGAAACAACGAGCTCAGAATCAAACAGACCAAATCTACAACTTTAAACGTCGCCTTATCGTAGCGTGCTTTTGCCTCCTCAGCTAGAGCCTGAGTCACGATAAAAATCAAATCACGATCGAGAAAAATAAATCAACGAATAAAAAAATGATAGAAATTATGTATAAATGGAACCTTGGCGAAGCCTTCGGCAGTACCGGTTTGAGTACCGAAGAAGATGGTGACTTTCTGCTTGCCATCATCAACTTCAGCATCGAGATCTTTAACGATCAATGGCTTAGAAGGAACGATTTGTTTAGGTTCCTGAGAACCGGATCTACGCCAGACCAAAACGACGACGCAGCCGACGAGCACTGCAATGGAGGTAGTTAGAATCATGACGAGCTCTTTGTTCTCGAGAAGGATGGTGGCAATCTCGGCGGCGGAGGCGTTGGAAGGGTCCATTTTGGCCTTGATTAGCGCTGACATCAGATCGAGCGGCGAAACTTTCATGGAACCTGAAGGGGAAGAGGAAGGCTCCATTGCTGTTGTTGTTGAAGAATCTGAGGTTCCGTGAATGACGAATCAGAGGAGAAGGAGATCTTTGAATCTGTTTAATGCAAAGAGGAAATGGCGTTGTTGGGAGTTTGGTGGTAGTTGAGAGTTTGTGAGAGACTTGAAGGAGGATTAACAGGGGTGGCCATTGCCATTGGTCAAGCAGCGACAAAGCCAGTTTCTTTTGTTTAAAATATAACCTACGTTTATATCATTAATTATAGGATTAAATGCACGATGGCCCCCTAAATTATCGAGTTGTCCACAGTATTTTTTTGAGACGTTTTATCCTCGAAGTTTAAATTGTTATTTCATTTGCTTTAATCTGTTAACTTTAAAAAATATGTGGGTAAATTATATATTCAGTCACTCAATTAGTCATGCGATTCTAATTTAGCCAATTAACTATTTTTTAAAGAGTTAAATGGATCGCACGTTTTTAGACTATGACCCTCATTTTAAATTGTTTCATAAATTTTTTAATATTTTAATTATATCCCTAAAATATGAATCTCATTATAAATTGATTTGTATACTTTTAAACATTTTAAATTCTTCCCTAAAATATGATCATCATTTCAAATTGATCCCCAAACTTTTGAATACTCCAATAACAACCCCTAAAATATTCAAAACTTTGGGGTTGAAATTGGAATACTAAAAAATTAGGGACCAATTTAGAATAAGGGTCATAGTTTGAGGATGGATTTGGAATATTAAAAAGTTCAAGGATCGTTTTAAAATGAGAGTTATGGTTTAGAGATGAAATTGAAATATTTAAAAATTTAGAGAGTAATTTAAAATGATATTCATAGTCGAGTATGTGAGGTGCAATTGAACACCCTGTAAGTCCACCCTTTAATTACAGGGACTAATTTGAATTACAATAAGAGCTTGGATACCCTTTTAAAATAAGTCATAGTTTGGCGTTGTTGTATTAAAAGTGCTAGGGAGTTAAAGGGACTTAAATTGAAATTATCATTTGCATACCAACCTTTTTAATAATCATATTAACTTTTTCAAATATCTTTTAGAAAATTTATTTTCCATCGCAAAGTGCGTGGTCTAATATTTATATATTTACTGTTACATTCTTCGTGGTTTACTTTTATGCATTATATTATAATTAATTATTTTTAGTGTTAATTATACAATATTATGACTTTTATTTTAAAGTGATTTATAAACTTTTAAATATTATAATTTCATCCTCAAACTATGTATCTTCTTCTAAAATGGTCATTAAACTTTTGAACATTCCAACTTCATCCCTCAACTAACCCGTCCTATATTAATCCCCAAACTTTTGAATGTTAAAATTCCATCCCCATAATTTCGAATGATTTTCGGGGAGGTTATTAAAATGTCCAAAAGATTGGGAGCCAAATTAATATGAAGGCCATAATTTTGGGACAAACTTAGAATGTTCAAAAGTTTAGGGATATTTTAAAGTGATAGTCATCATTTGGGGATGAAATTAAAATATTTAAAAAATTAGAGATCAATTTAAAATGAGGGTGAATATGTGATGCACTTAACTCTTATTTTTATCTATCATAAAAACATAGTTAATTGTACTACACATCTCCAAATTATGACTCTCATTTTAAATTGATCCTGGAACTTTTGAGCATTCCAAATCCATCCTCAAACTATGACTTATTTTTCCTAAATTGGTCCCCAAACTTTTGAATGATTTTAGGGAGGCTATCGAGACATTCAAAACTTTAGGGATCAATTTATAAGAAGGATTATAGTTGGGGGATGAATTCAGAATGTTCGAGAGTTTACGGACTATTTAAAATGATATTCATAATTTGGAGATGAAATTAAGATGTTTATAAGTCTAGAGGATAATTTAAAATGAGGATCACAATTTAAGGACCCATGAATGTAATTAACTCTTATTCTTATTGTCGTAGAAAATATCGAATTTAATAAAGAAAATGAAACCAACGCCTACCAAACAAGACTCTAGCCCACCAAACACCAAAGTTAACAATGGTTAAAATTAATGAATGAACCAATCAACGCGGCATTCACCAATTCATCATATTTTGAGTATATGGTATCTATGTATCATACTATTCATGTTATATAGATCTCTTTTAAGTTCCATTAATTAAAAACTATTTTTTTCACGAAGTAACGTACCTCGGTAGTCAAATAAATTGTTGTTGTTCCTAAAGATCACATGTTCGAGCATCAATGACTGCAGCAACAGGATAATTGAGCGTTCATTATCAAATGATCAAAGAATATTTATAATAGATATTCCTTTATAATCACCTTAACTTAATGAAAAATATAATATTTTTCCAACTTTACACCTCGTACGAAAATTAGCCTAACATTTATTAGATTAGTCATTTTGACTCCTATTATATATTTAGAACATTTTAACCCAAATAAAATATTAATTAATATTCAGTAGCCAATATAATCTTACAGGAGTATAATTAGATATGATCGTTGGCTAAAGACACACAATAATTAACCAATTATATGATAGATGGAACAATAGCCAATAATCACATTATAGTCCTATTGTTTTCATCCTACTCTCAAATTAACTTTTTATTTAAATGTTGAGTAAAGTACATAAATGATTCCCGACTATATAATATTGTTATATTGAGTCATTCGACTATTAAAAGTTATAAAATGGTCCCTGACTATAAGATGTTGATTTGTTGAACCCATTGCTATTAAAAGTTACAAAATAATCAACCGACTATTCGTTATGTTCCAAATTTGTCCATTTCCATTAAAAATTTAACGACAATCTAACTTGGATGTTAAATTGCTATATGATATACGATATTCGTTTGAGATTATGATAACAAATTTTAGCATATCTCAAACAACTTTTATATTACCATCCACCTCATACTGCTATCATTTTTTTAACGGAAAATGACGAATTTGGAACGTAATAAATAGTCGAATGACCATTTTGTAACTTTTAATAGTCGAGAGACTCAACAAAATAATATCCTATAGTTGAAATGACCATTTTGTAACTTTTGATAGTCAGAGGACTCAACAAAGCAACACCATATAATCAGGGGACCATTTGTCTACTTTACCCTTAAGTATAATATTTTGCAAAATGCTACCGCCTAAGGCATATACACGGCCTTATTAACTATAGGCTGTCCTTTTTGACCCAAATATTTGTGGAAACTATCTGACCCTAAACAAGCCCAAAGTTAAACTACTCCAAAACGCCGCCGTTGGACTTTTCTTCTCCGTTTTCGGTCAATAGTAAGAAAAGAACCGTCGCTTTTAATGCAGCCCGCCAATAAGACGATGCCGCGTAGACAAACCCTACTGCATTCGCGGGTTTTCTCGTAGTCAAAACCCTAATTTATTAATATTATTATTATAATACTTCATTCGACGACTCTCAAATTTGTTCTATTAAGCTTAAAAACTCAGGTCAAACGCCTTTCTTTCTTCTTTAATTGCTTCACGTCTGGTTTATTATTGTTTGTTCCTCTATTTTTTTTAATTACTGAGTTAAATATCGAATCGATTATAAGCTGAAATCTGGTAAATAGATTGGTTTTTGAGTAAAAAAATTAACGTGTTTGATTTTGAATTTAGATTATTGATTTATGTTTTTTGTCTTTCATTTTTGATATTGGAAAGAGAAGGGATTGAGTATCAGTGATGTTGGGCGCTTTGAGGAGAAAAGTTACGATGGAGGCTCATCGGCTTCGGTTATAGCTCTTAAATCTAATTTGTTTTTGAAATTGTAATTTATTTAACTAGAATACATGGATTTTATTGAATTTTTCTTCATTTCAGGTATTAGGGAAGTCATTGCAAGCGATTCGGCATGGTATTTCAACCTCTAGAGTTTCTGCCAATTCTGGAAAAGAGGTAAAATGATTAAGTTGAAAATGAATCGGATTTGCGAATTCATGCTTGTGGTTCATTTTTGAATTTTGATTGATCTTGATTCTATTTATTATGCAACTGACGTCGAAGATGCTTGATTGGCTTTTTTTCTCAGTAAAACGCTATAAAGTATAAAAGATGGTAAAGAAGTGCTGATCAACTTTGCTTTTTAATTTTTTGTGTATGAAGATCGAGTGGTGAAATTGAAATTGCAATTCAAGCTTAATTTTGAAGTTAAAAATCATCCATTCTGTCGTTATTTTGTTAATTATTGTTGTGTTGCAAATCTTCACTTATGGAAGCAAAGACTAAGCAGTAAAAGCCATGGTCCCGGTGTTTTCATTTTCTCAAAAATATATGTTGGACACCTATGCTGGACACATATTCAATGGTGGCCATGTGGGTATATGGTCCTTGAAGTATATGAAAAAGGTTTTAAAAAATTGAGCATACCTTACTGTACACATATTCATATATGGCATTCATCCCTGTATCCGAAAATGTAGAGTAAAAGCAACAATCAAATCGATGCTTTTGTGTTTTTTGATCATTTTGGATTTTTATCATCCGTTAGGAAATATTCCCACGAGATTTGAATTTCGTTTGTGTGAACAGATTCTGTTACTTCAGCCAAGAGGAATTGACCATGTCCGTAACTTCTCTCATCTCATTCTCCCGGGTAAATCTTTTGGGAAGTTTTGTTTTCATTTTGGCAAAATTTTGTTGGTTTCCTCAGTTATTGAATGAAAATCATTTCATGGATATTATAGGTTCTGTTGGTTTAACAAAGACAAGGTTAGTTTGTTCTAAACTTTCTAATGCACATAAATTGTAGGAATTTTACTGTTACTCATTATCTTTCCTTGAGACTGTGAGCATATGTGCTGACTACTGGATTAATCTGATGTTTCATGTCTAATTACTATATCTATCTTTAATAGAAGGTCCATTTTAATGCAAAGTAGTCCATCTCGTTCTTGTTTATCATGAAATTATGTTTGTTAGGGAAATTAGAAAAGGAAATATATGCATTAAAATTATTTTATGCTAACAGCTTTTCTTATGTGCAGGGATGTCATTTATAGCATTCCGTCAGAGACTATCATGCAAAAGTCATGCAGGGCCTTCTCTTCTGGAGATGGTAAGATATTGATTAATGTCCTTAGTAATATTTCGTTTTCCAAATCAGCATTTTCTCTTATTG